ATTTCATATTCAAAATTACCATGAAGGACCAAAATAAAATAAAATAAAGATAGGCATGCAAAAATGTAAATCTAACAATAAACTAAACGAACATGCCATAGGTCCAAAGTGTAAAGAAAATAAACAACAGATCTTTTCCATAAAAATTTCATTTCTAGGCACCTCAAACCTAATATAACCCAAGTGCTACATAGGACCAAAATGCAAGTTCCCAAAATTACATATCAAATGTAAAAACAGTAAGAAAATAGCCCCAACACAACACTGGACTGAAATGAAACACGGAGAAATTTAAGAGACAACATTAATATACTAGCAAAGCTCGATTTAGGGATCAAGACGATACGGTTCAAAGCTGCGAGGACCTATATAAATATTACCCCAACTTCTAAAACGCGGTTCATCTCCTCCAGACAACAACACGCTGCCGTTTTGACCCTCTGGAACGACGCCGTTTTGGCATACGAATATATAGGATATTAGGGTAAATTTCATAGCCCTAATTCATTCTCATCTTAGCTTAAACAAACCCCCCAGCCGTTTCTCTTATTCTTTCACTCTCTCCCGACGCAGACAGCCCCAACGAGAGCTTCCAAGGGTCTCACAACCTCAACAGGCCACCGCAAGTCGGTGACCAAAACCAACCTGAATGTAAGACCAAAACCTAAAACAAACTAGACCACCACACAAAACCGAGCCTTCAAACTCAAAACCCCGGACACCAACGACGACTGAGCAAGCCAAACGACCTCCAACAGTCCCTCAAGTCTTTGATCTACTCTCTTCTCCACTCACGAGCGAGGCCCTCATCGCACCCTGATGGTCGCTCCTGCTCCGACCGCCACAAGACCCGACTGGTAAGCCTATAATCCTAATCAAAACACCATCACACTAGTCACTGCTAATAACGACCCGAGGGGTCAAACGACCACCAAACCCACAAAACCATGGGTCACCGTTTCCCAATAGTTCACAAGCTAAGGGTCTCTAAACTCTCCTCTTCTAAGGTAAATGCTTCCTTATCTCTCTATTTCTATTCTATTTACTCATATAAATTTACATGCAAAATAATTTGACTATAAAAAAGAAACAGAATACCTTCTGAAAATTGGATATTTCCTTGTTGTTTTCTTTTCGAAAAATGGGTAGGAACCCTTACATTGATTGCTTTGGTTTATCGAAAACAAGGTAAAGATCTAAAGCCCTTTACAAATCTTCTTTTTTTTTGTTATTTGATATCCCCGAATACCCTCCGTTACAAATGTTTTCCTCCCCTGTTATTGATGATTTCTGTTTCGAAGGGCTACTTTGTTTTATATATGTTGGTGAATTTTTGTGTTGGTTTCTGGTTTTTCCACCGAGAGCCCTCTGTTGTGTTTTTATGATGTCTCCCCTTTTTTTTCATTTTCAGTCGTTCTCCCCTCTCTTTTCTGCGTGTCTTTCCCTTTGTTGTTTTTTGTCCGTGCCCCATGTTTCTGGTAGTTAATTGATAATAGAAACCGATACTTTACGATTTAGTACCCCACCCACGATCAAAACTGCTTCTCTCCTTCCTGCTGGATATTCGTTTATGTTTTGAAGGAACTCACGTGGACTAGAGGATAGGATAACATGTTGTTTGGGCTGATTTGGGCTTTCCCTAGTCCAAATTTATATCGTGTACTAGATACAAAGCCTTCGGACAAAAACGAGCATCTACAGCTTGCTCGGAGGGTGATGTGTCAATTACTTTCCGTGACCGAGCTTATGAAAGGATAGATAGATGTCTGGTCAGGGAACCTTTGGAGCAAAACAATGTTACTTCTGAGTCTCCACACAAATATATGGAAGCATGATTGGAAGTTGTTGCTACGAGAGAAGTTTGTGATATGTTGGGGACCTCTTTCAAAGGGGGAAATCATGTTTTGGAAGAGGAGGTCTTGAAGATGGAGCTGAAAGGGCCTCTTAGGAGCTCTTGAGTGCTGGTTTCATGATGGTAATGGTTTGTTGATATTGTTAATTATGTCACAAATCAAATTGATTTCTTGGAATGTTAGGGGGCTTGGAAGAAAGAAAAAAATAAGAGCAGTTGCAAGAGTAGCATCAAAAGTCAAACTGGTAATTATGTTTCTTCAGGAATCTAAATTGAATAAATGTCAAATCGGATTAATGAGGAAGTTGGGGGTAATTTTATGAAAGGTATTAGCTTTCATCCAGCTACAGGTTCAACAGGGGGTTTAATTTGTCTTTTGAATGAAAATCTGTTTGAAGCCAGCAGGGAAATTAAGCATAATAGATTCATTGCTTTATCAGGAAAGTTTATTATGGTTAACTTCGAATGTGTTGTTATTAATGTGTACGGTCCGTCGGTTGAGGCTGATAAAGAGGAGGTTTTTGGAGAGTTGATGTGTTTTATACAAAATCTTGACTTGCCTGTATTTCTAGGGGGGATTTCAACGCTTATATAGATCCCGAGGAGAAAATTGGAGTGGCTCAGAATTGGCATTCATTGGACTTATTTTCCAACTTTGTCTGAAATTTAAATCTTATGGATTTACCTTTAGTTAGAGGGAGATTTACATGGTGCAATAATAGAGAAGTTTCCACGTGGATTAGATTAGATCGTTCTCTATTAAGTGGTGCATTTTTTCAGGTATTTCCAAAAGTTATTCAGAAATTATTGCCAAAATCCTTATCTGATCATAACCCTATAGTACTTGAAGAAGAATCCAATAACTAGGGTCCTAAACTTTTTCGATTTTTAACTACTTACTTGAGGATGATGGATTTGCTGGGGTGGTTCAGAATGATGTGTATGATTTAAAGATGGAGAATGCCTGTAGGGGTATGCTGAGTATTCTTCAAGAAACTAAGAAAGCGATTAAAAAGTGGCCAAACAATAATAATTTGGGGATTTTCGAACAGATTTCTGATCTGGAAAACAGGATAAATGATTTGGAATTGAGGTGTCAAGGTGGGGGGATTTCTGTACAAGATTGGGGTTAACTATTGACTTGGAGGAATATTGTGGGGTTTGCATAGGAAGGAGGAGAGTATATGGTTTCAAAAATCAAGAATAAAATGGATGAAGGGTGGGGATAGTAATACCAGATTTTATCATATATGTGCTCTTAATAGGAGTAGAGTGAATACCATATCGTCTTTGAAAGTGGCTGGGGAAGATATTGCTGATCTAAGTCAGATTAGATCAATTATCTCTGATTTTTTTAAAGTCAACTACAATGGGAAAACATCTCTGGAGGTGGATAAATATAATCTGAATTTCGCTAAATTGATAGAGGAATAAAATGTTGGTTTAGAGGTTGACTTTTCTGAACAGGAGGTATGGGAAGTAGTCTTTTATTCGAACAGTGCTAAGGCACCTGGTCCGGATGGGTTTACTATAGGTTTCTTTAAAAAATTCTGGACTATATTGAAGGAACATATTATGAAATTTGTTCAAGATTTTCATAGAGGAAAAAAATAAGAGCATGGAGTGAACCATTCCTTTATTACTATAATCCCTAAGATAGTGAATCCAGAGAGAATTGAAGATTTCAGGCCTATTAGTCTTGTTGGCATCCTTTACAATATTATTTCTAAAGTGCTCTCCAAAAGGCTTGTCTCTGTTATTAATGGCTTGGTAAGCCCTTCACAGTTTGCATTTATTTCGGGTAGACAACTGCTAGATTGTACTCTTTTGGCAAATGAAGGCATTGACTATTGGAGAAAATTAGGGAGAAAAGGAGTTGTATTCAAAGTTGATTTCCGTAAGGCTTATGATTCGGTTGAATGGCCTATCTTATTCAGAATATTGAAGGTTATGGGTTTTGGGGAAAAATGGATCTCATGGATTGAGGATTGTGTTTCTTTTACCTCTATTTCGGTGTTAGTTAATGGTTCTCCTACTGAGGAATTCCGCAATAGTAAAGGGTTGAGGCAAGGGTGCAGTCTATCCCCTCTCCTGTTCAATTTAGTGGGGGAATTGTTAAATCATATGTTGACTAAGGCTGTCGGTATAGGACTTTTTCAAGGGTTCAACGTTTGTAGGATTGGGAATTCCTTTCATTTGACACATTTGCAGTTTGTAGATGATTTAATCCCTTTTTGCAGAGATTCTTCAATGCAAATTTTGAACATTATGAGAGTATTAAGGGTTTTCGGTGTTATGTCTGGGCTGCATTTAAACCTGACTAAGAGTTCATTATTTGGGGTTAATATAGAAGTTGACATGATTAAAGATTGGGCTATGAAAGCGAGCTGTGGAGTGGGATCGTTTCCAATGTCTTATCTTGGTTTACCGATTGGCACTAGGAAAAATTCAGAGGGGATGTGGGATCCTGTTTTTCAGAATTTTAATAAGAGACTAGCAGGTTGGAAAGCTAAATCGTTGTCGTTGGCGGGTAGACTGGTTCGGTTAAATCTGTGTTATCATCCTTGCCTATCTTTTTTCTCTCTATTTTCAAGATTCCTCTCAAAGTGACTCAGAAGTTGAACTCTTTGATGGCTAACTTCCTTTGGGGTGAAGACCATGATAAGAAACGAATTCACTGGGTTAATTGGAGATCGGTTTTTCAATCTTTCGATGAGGGTGGTTTGGGAATCGTTGACTTAAGGTTGATAAATAGAGTCTTACTTGGGAAATGGGTGTGGAAATATGCTAATGAGAAAAATAGTTTATGGAAACAGTTAATATGTACCCTGTCTCTTTCACTTTCAAATGCGATTTCACCTTCAGATTCTTGGATTCGGAGAGGTATCCTTAGTAATTATGCGAGAATGATCAGATTGGTGACTGTTTAAGAGACAATTCTAAGATCCAAGTGGGAAATGGTCAGTCAATTGCTTTTTGGATTACTAATTTGCCTTTAAAAAATAAGTTCCCCAAAATTTTTGTGTTGTCAACGAATAAATGGGGGAAGATATCAGAGTTTGGTGGGTATGAAGATAATGTTTGGGTTTGGAACATACAACTTAGAAGAAACTTGTGTGATTGGGAATTGGACCAGTGGATCGCTTTAATGTCGTTAATTGACAAGATTTCGTTGTCATATTCTATGGAGGATTTTCTGGGATGGTCGGGAAAGGGGGATGGCATATTCTCGGTCAGATCTTGCAGACATTCGTTATATGGTAACTCTGAAGGGAGTTTTGAGTGGAAGAAGTGGGCTTGGGATGGTTTGGCCCCATCGAGGGTTCAAACATTTTTATGGCAGATTTGTCATAAGAAGTTAGCAGTCATAGTGGAATTGAAGAAAAGGAGGATTTCTTTAACGGATGTTCTTTGTCCTTTATGTCATTCCCAGGATGAATCTATAGCTCACTTGTTCTTATCGTGCTCTGTTGCTTCGGAATTGTGGTGTAAATTTCTAAGGTTATGGGATATCTCTATTGTTTTGTCTCATGATCCTTCTTCTATTCTTTGCTTGTGGTCGAATCTTAAACATAATTCTATTATTTGGAGGTTCATTGCGGCTATCATTTTCTGGTCAATTTGGAATACAAAGAATCTGGTGGTTTTTTAAAATGGAGAGTGTGACAGTATTGTTTTGTTCTTTATCACTAGATTTAGATTAGCGAAATGGTTCTTAGCTAAACACCCTTCAGTTCGGATTCAGACAGATCTCTAGTAGGGGATCCTACGCGGGCTGATCAATTTCACATAAGTACTAGTACTAAGAAGGCTATTGGTTGGTCTCATCCACCATCGGATATGTTCAAACTCAATGTTGATGGGGCAGTGACTGGAGATGGGATGCATGGTGGTATTGGTGGTGTTTTGAGTGACTTTCAACAGCTCTTTAGCTTCTTTCTCTTCTGCAGTAGGGCCTGGTCTTCCTATTTTGACTGAACTGAAAGCTATTAAAGAAGGATTGTTTTTTTTTCTACTCTTCCGTTTGGGCTAAGAAGGGAAGACTTATTATTGAGAGTGATTGCAAATGTGTTGTGGATTGGATTTTAAAGCTGCAACCTGCCCCTATTTTTCACTAATTTGGTAGAGGAAATTGGAGCTCTTGTTACTGCTAAGGGTGTCATTCTTAGATGGATTCCTAGGAGTTGTAATGTGGAGGCTGACAGGTTAACTAAGCAGGGGATTGGTTGAGTGTTGTAGGCTTATTGTTGGACGGTTTTGTATTTTTCCTTTGGGTTTTGTAATGGTTAAATCCTTGTAATAGTTTTGGTAATGTGGTAAACAGGACTCATCCTCTGATCTAGGGTTCTGCTTTATCAGTTTAGATTAAGTGTCTGTATTTGTTTATGGGTGTTGTAGGTTTCTTTGTGTTAGATGAGGGTGTTGTCTTGGTTGTTTCTTATGTATTTTATGTTGTTGAATAAATACCTAAGGCACTCTTTTCCTCCTTCCTATGATTAAGGAGCTTTACCCAAGCTTCATTAATCACGAAGGGGGTTTTTAACGAAGCCTTCAATTCTTATAAAAAAAGATAATAATATAGATAATATAATAAGATTAATGATGGAAATAATGTGTGATGTGTATATGTGTACATTATATAATATATAATGATTGTGTGATATCATGAAGTGATATGTTCATACATGTTTAAACATTTAGAGTTTCCTTTATAAGTTTAATGCCTCACTAAGTCATAGACTTAGTGTGTGATTATTTCACACGTATGTTATAGAAGCGAGAAGAGAAGCGAAGAAGAGCAAGACAGGTCAGCATCTCCCTTATAAAATTTCAGATCAGAAAATATATGATTTAAATGTGTTTGGTTATTTTGAATATAGTTGGCATGTACTAATTGATTGAGTTGAATATGCTCTGATCGATTTTGGTTATTTTGGTCAATTTATGTAAATAAACCGCTTTTATTTTAATGAAAGTTTTAAATTTTCTTTGAATTTTGGCAAGAGTCAAAGTTTGAAAAGTTAATGTGACACCTCAGACTCGTATTCGGGTCGGGTACGGATTGGGATGTTAAATTTAATGGTATCAGAGCTACAGTTTAGCCGATTCTAGGCATAAATCGAAGTCAAAAGTGTTTTAAAAAGTATACATGCCAACATAGAGTGAAAAATTTCTGATATGATAGTTTAAGGAGTATGTTGTCTTGCTGATAGAATAAGTTTAGTATGATATAGTAGAAATTTGATTATAAGAATTGTTGAAGTGAATTGATAGGCGACAAAACTGATGGTAATAGCAATTCAACTTCCCTGGCCAGATAGGATGAAGAGCGAATACCTCAGGAAGTGCCTCTTAAGATCAAAGGTTGATTTCAGAAAATTGAAATCATATCCAAATAGTGATAAAAGGTTTTCACTGTTTCGAATCGGAAAAGTGATATGGGGAAGTTTTGTTATAAAGTGGATAAGATAGAATATAGTGAACAAGTGTCACCATAAGGACGTTAAGAGATCAAATGATTATGTTAGAATTTGTAAAAAAGTTGAAGAATAAGTGCATCAGTGACAAGTGTATAAGATGTATGAAGCCAGAGTTTATGGGTTGAAACAAAGGGATAGTATTGCTTATAAGAAAGAGTTATTTTTGGCTAACAAGATTATGTGATGAAATGTATTGGAGTTATAAGATTTCAAGATATTGTTAGGTTATGATAACCAAATATAAAGTGGATCTGGATACAGTTGTATATTTTGATCATAGTAATGTGATATAGTGAAGGAAGTGAAGATTCATATGTTTGAGTAAAGAAAAGGATTGATAAAAAGAGTTTAAGAATGGATACATCAGTGATCAGTTTATAAGATAAAAGGAAGTTAAAATGTTAAGTATGAACAATGGAAATTACATGGTGTATGAAAATGAATGGGGATTCGATAAGTTAAGTAAATTATTGTTGAGATGATTTTGATGGGAAAGGAAAAAGATTTTTTGTTACTGTTTATATGATAAGTGACATTGGAGGTTAAAGAATAAGGTTTTGTATAAGTAAAGTGGATTATCAAAGTTAAGAAGATACGATGAAGATCGGTAATCAGAGATGAGTATACATAATATAAAAGAGTATGAGAGTATGAAGGACAATATATAGTTTGGTTATGTATAAGATCTTGATTATAAAATGATAAACAGATAAAGAAATGAAAAAGGGTTAAGTTTAAAGGATCAGATATGATAAAGACTATATGGAAGTGTAGATGATATGTTCAATATAAAAGTAAGAAAAGTGTGCAAAGTGATGTGAAAAGATTGTTTGATTTTGTAAAGTATATGTTTAATCACATTTGAAGAAGATTTAAGGTTGTGTTCTTGGTTAAATGATGATAGAATAAAAGTTTGATTATTATTATGAAGTAATTAGAGATGAATTTATGATGTTGAGTTATGAAAAAGGATGTTACTGTCTACATGATGAGTGACATTGTATAGATTTTTAAAAGGACAAAGGAAATATGTAGAATCAAAGGAGAGAAAAGACAGAAATGAATGAAGTTTTTTGGGAAATTGAAGTCAAATCACTGATCATAAATTACGAAGGAATAAAGTTGAGAAAACAACATGAGAATATTAGAAGATATGTTTTTATCAAGATATGTAGTGAAAATTTGAGGACGTTAAAGGAGGGGAGATTTGTAACATCCTCAATACCGGGTTAGTGACCAAATTGAAATATTTCAGAATTTGGTGATTAAAGTAGAATAATTGAATAGTTCAATGATTTATCTGGAAATATTTTCTAAAAGTTTTTAGTAATTATTAAAGGAATTAAAGGATAAAATGGTCATTTGACAAGGAAAATTTTTATATTCCTTTTATAAGATAAGGGAACCACGTGGGAAATGAGAGAATTCTCTAGAGTTTTCTTTCTTCTTCTTCCTCCTCCCGTATCTCCAAGCTCAAAGGTGGGTTTCTTTGTTTGTTGATTAATTGTTGATTTTAAGGTTGAGTTATTATCATTAGATGATAATTAAGCTTAAGGAAAGCTTAATTTGTTCTAAAACAACAAGATGAAAGATATAGAAGAGATTAAAGAAAATGAGTTTTTAGATCAATTTCTGGAAAAGAGTTAATAAGTGAAATTTGAGAAGGAATTTGACTTGTCATCACTAAGAATAAGAGATTTATAAAGTTTGAAAGGATTAATAACAAAGTTGAAAGTTTAGTAAGATTCTTAATTTTAAGAATCATGATGAAATATTGAAGATAAAGATGGTTTATATGAATACAAGTTGGTTTAAGTAATGGTAGTTCAGTTTAATGACATGATAGGGGCTTAGAATAGAAGAATTGAATGAAGAGTTGATGATTTTCGGGCGTAAAAATAAATTTTGGGCAAAGTGTATCGATGCACATTCAATGTGTATCGATGCACTCTTTAAAGAAGAAACATCGAATGCCTTGAGTGTACCGATGCACAGTTAGTGCATCGATGCACCCCCTTAAGATTAAACATTGAAGGTGATTTGTGTATCGATGCATGGGTAGTGCATCGATGCACATGTTAAGGGATGCATCGATACACTGTAGAATGTATCGATGCACTTCAATGGGAAATGGAATAAATCTTTCTTTCAGTCTAAGAAGTGATAGATTATAGTATATCGATTGGATACTGATAGTATAAATATATGATTGTGTAGATATCGATTGAGAGCAAGTTCCGAAATGATTTAAAGATTAGAATTGATCCAGAAGAGAAAGTAAGCCATAGGAGTAATTAATAGCAAGTGAGGCCAAGGTGAGTGCATATTAGATCGTATATGATATAAAATGGAAATAAGACTTGCGACAAGTCTATTTCCTATAGTGTTATGCATAAATTCATGAACATGAACATGTGTTTGTTATGAATTATATGTTGTTGTAGGTATGAATATGTGTTAGTGTGATAAGATATAGAAACCCATATAAGTGATATATATATATATTTACATAAGCTATATGAATATATGTTTATATAATGAATAATATGCATATGTGATATATGAATATAAGAGATTAAGTGAATGAACATAGATGATATGCAAGATTATATAAGAATAAGATATGAATCATATAATATAGGTTATATGAGAAATATATGTAAATAAGATATGATATATATGTTTATGAGAAACCATGCAAGTGACATGAACTATGTGATATGAATATGTGGAATATGATACAAAGTGATGTGATTATATGGTCACAAGAGATAAGAGACAGGTGAATGTGAACTATGTGATTATATGAATATGTGACATGATATATTGCTAATGCCCATGTTATGTGTAAAGAGAGCTAGAGGTATAGTTGGCATGCCAAGAGTCGAGGGATTTACAGTGGTCTTTCGGGACATTTCATAGTGGTCCTTCAGGACAAATTTCATAGCCCCTAGTGGGATCCCATACGAGCTGTGGTGACAGCATAGTGCACAACCTCAATAGACTCACATATCTATAGTTCTCAAAAGTGTACATGGGCTAAACAAAGAGATAACAATGAAGATAGTACTTGTGAAGTATATGCTTTTGTGATATGAACTGTATTATATTATTGATATGATGATGTGTGTATGGTTTGAATGAGTCATATGCTGATAAAAAGGTATGATTAAAGGATATAAATGGTAATAATATGGATAATAGAATAAGATTAATGATGGAAATAATGTGTGATGTGTATATGTGTACATTATATTATATATAATGATTGTGTGATATCATGAAGTGATATGTTCATACATGTTTAAGCATTTAGAGTTTCCTTTATAAGTTTAATGACGCACTAAGTCATAGACTTAGCGTGTGATTGTTTCACACGTAGGTTATAGAAGCGAGAAGTGAAACGAGAAAAGCAAGACAAGTCAGCATCTCCCTTACAAAATTTCAGATCAGAAAATAGATGATTTAAATGTGTTTGGTTTTTTTAATATAGTTGGCATGTACTAATTGATTGAGTTGAATATGCTATGATCAATTTTGGTTATTTTGATCAATTTTGGTTATTTTGGTCAATTTATATAAATAAACCGCTTTTATTTTAATGAAAGTTTTAAATTTTTTTTGAATTTTGGCAAGAGTCAAAGTTTGAAAAGTCATTGTGATACCTCAGACTCGTCGATGTCTTCTTTTGTATCTTATAGCCTTTTTCTAAGAGTTGTCCCAAACTTAAAATATTACATTTTAATTTTGGAACATAATATATGTTTGTGATAAGTATTTGGTCACCAGTTTTTATGGAAATTAAGATAGTACTTTTGTCTTTGATTTCAATTTTGGAAGAATCTCCAAATATGATTTCACAATAGTACTCTTTTAATGTTATAAATTTTTCTTTATCACCACACATATAATTACTAGAACCAATATCTAGGTACCA